AAATAGGGAATTGTTTCTGTATTTTAAGGAAAGTTTAGAGGCACAAAGTGAATGAGCATCTCTGGGCATATCTGGCCCAGCTCCCACCCCAAGCAGGGTCACTCCAGAGATGGATTAGGCTGCCTGGTATGAAATTATTTCACCCTGAAACCTCAAAACCTTTCCCAAGCCCTCCATTTTTTGCCTGCACACAAGGAGATGTTCTCTGGATGCCCTCAGCCACTGACATCACCAAAAGGCCTCATCTTTATCCTTTTCAGAGCACACTGGGCAGCAGGAACTTCATCACAGATCATCACCTGGTTAAAAGGGGACCACTCCATGGTGGTGCCCACAGTGGTGATGTCCCCATAGTCATGGTTGTGACCCCGTGCCCACAGCAGTGACCAGCCTGGAATGGCCACCAGCCTGCATGACCTGTGCCAGGGTGGAATATGCCACCATCACCCCAAGGGTCCCCTGGACAGCACAAGGCCTGGGGTGGGGCTGTTCCTGCCTCCTCACCTCTGGAGTGGGTTGCAGGCGCAGTACAACCTGAAGGCACAGCTGGCAGTGTTGGAAGGGTGGTGCTGCAGCTGGATGGGTGGTTCCTTCCCTGCAGAATAAAGGGATGAGAGCCAGTCATGGAGCAAAAGCATCGTCCAAATAATGTGCCCCCCACAGCAGCTCCCCATCCTAGGGACACCCACACAAGCATTTGAGCCCATGCCAGAGATGTCACCACCATAAGTCTCTCAGGACAAGCAAGTCCTAGATGCAGCCTTTCACAGCCCACCTGAACAGAGTCCTATAAGGCATGCTCAGAGGCCTCTGGAGCATTTGGATTTTCAGGAATTCATCACCTTGTGCTGGGAAAGTAGGGACAAGAGGGTTTGCTCCTTGGTGGCAGGGATGCATGAGTCATTCTCCAGTCTGATGCCCTTGAAATAGAGCCAAAAAAGCTTTTACCCAAAGTAGCCAGCCACAGGAGAGCTGGTAGAGCTGGAGCTCCAGGATTAACCCTTTCCTGGCAGAAGCTGGCTGGCTGCCCTGCCATGCAGATCCTTTCTCCTCTTCTGCTGAGTGCTGGGTTTGCCCACTGTGTGCACCCAGCAGGTGCCAACACTGCCCTGGCAAGGGCAGGGAGGGGGACATGCTGTAGGACCTCAGTGATGGGCTGCTGCCAGACAAAATGGGGTTGGAAACGCAGGCCCCCCAAATGGGGAACATAATTTCTCTTCCCCATGTCCGACCACAAAGCCTGCCCTGTTTGGGGTCCAACAAAGTGAAAACACAACTCAAAAAAATCTGGTGGAAAACATAGAGCTCTTTATTTGCACTGCTTTGGGGGGAAGGCTCTTGATTCCTGCACTCCTGAGTCCTTGTTTCACTTAGGAACCCACCAACCATCCGTAGCTCTTGATGGGATTCACATTGTTTGGTGTGCCAAGACGTGATGAACTTTCCCCAAAATAGGGGGAACTAGCCTGCTGGGAACTAGCTTCAAACCATGGCCCAGCAGTGGGCACAAGCATCTCTGATCTGGGACAGGGCAAGAAGATGGAGAATGATGCTCCTTGTCCAGGGCTGGGAGTGAAGGGTCCACCCAGGAGTGGCTGCTGCACTGCAGCCTTGCTGTACAGGGCCCCAGAACAAGCCCAGCCTCTCCTGGGGCCATCAAAAAGAGTAGTGAAAGGTGCTGGGGGTTACATCGCTACCCACTAACCTGGGCTGGAGCCTCCTGCCACACCCCCACGGACCCAAGCATCGCTCCACCCACCCCAGCAGTCTGGCAGTGTTTTGTTATCTGCATGGACCTGCCCAGGGCATTTAAAGCAAGCTCAGACAGGAACTTCCCTCTCTCATTCTCCCACAGGCCGCTATGCAAATACTCCTTGAAAGCATGGATTAGGTCACGGAGATTTTGAGTGCCTTTTTTACCTTCCCCAAGGTTCTCCATTCCCAGTTTGCTTCCTTACAGTCTGCAGCGGGGCCTGCTGAGCATCTCCTCTGCCCTGGTGGATCCCTGTGCCCCTGCCAGCCCACTCCCTTGTACTGCATCCCTCACGATGCACCGAAGCTCTCGGCTCTCCCAAGGACGGGCAGTTCAGGCCTGGAAAGCCTGGAACACCCAACCCATGCCACAGCAGCGGGCATTACCCCACACCCTCAGCACCAGGGGCACCACGGCCCTGAGCTGCCTCATCTGCCCTGCCTGCAGGACTGGGGGCAATCCCTGCAGTGATTCCCAAGCAGCCACGCAGCACGCGCACGGGTAGGGATCCCTGCAGCGCAACGCCTGCTGCACTGGAGGATGCTGCACTGGCCAGGCTGCTGCACGGACCCCTCCCCAGAATGGGTCTCACCCAGACCCCGGGAGGACCTGCTGAAAGGAGGTGGGCAATAAACACTGCCCCAGGAACCAGAGCTGATAAACCGACCCCTCCTGAGCCCGCTCCGTGTGATGAGAGGCGGTGGCTCCAGCGGGGAGCAACCCCAGTGCAGAGCACCCACTGCTCCCTCAAGGCACATGCTGCAGAACCAGCTCAGTGACCGAGTGGGTGACAGACAGCCCTGCCTGTGGCAGGGGGTTAAAATTAGATGGTCTCTAAGGTCCCTTCCAACCCAAATCATTCTGTGATTCTATGATGATCCTGACTTGGGAGGAAGGACAGAAAAGTCCTGCCTGGGGAAATGGGTTCCCAGGAGATATCTACCCAGCTACAGGGGAAGTTTTGAGGCCAGGAACTCCTTTTCTCACCCCCAGTACTGACGCTGAGGCTGCATTTGCATCACTTGGTGAGCACCATACCTGGAGCACGGGCTCGTAAGTGACCACCAGCCTAACACTCGGGAGATGCCATGGGTGCTGACACCCAAAAACCAGCAGCCAGGGCTCAGAAACACACCGTGGGACCCCTCGGGATCTTCCCACCCAAAGTCACGCCGCATCCCCGCCGTCGCCCATCCCTATGCGCATCTCTCCCCGCAGTAACGAGTGCGGGCAGGGTCGGAAAGCCGTTCCCCTTGGGGACCCCCGCTTACCGCAGGCGGGGACAGCACACGGGGATTGTTTCAGCAGTCCACGGCTGGGAGCCAGGACCGAAAACTCCCATTCGGGAAGGTGGCAGCGCACGGGGGCACCTCCTGGGGACGGGGGGACACGGGGACAAGGCCGGTGGGTGCCCCCCGCTCCCCGGGGTGACGGCGCACAGGGAGCCGCCGAGCCCCGCCGCCGCCGCCGCCACACCCATCCGCGTCCCGCACGGGGACCCTCCTTCCCCCTCCAGCTGCCGGCCCCCCACGCCCAGAACAGCCCCGCAGAGAAGACAAAGTCCTACCTGTATCCGCGGGACGGCTGGGGCAGGGCGGGGGGGCGGCAGGGCTGGCTCGGCGGCGGCCGGAGCCCAGCGGGAGCCCTCAGCCCTGCCCGCTACCCGCCCGGCTCTGCCCGGCCCCCGACTTCCTGCCCCTGCCCCGTCCCTGACCCACTCCCTGCTCCTGTTTCTGTCTTAAACCTGCTCCTCCCCTGCCCCAACTCCTCCTCTAGCCCCTGCTCCTTTTTCAGCCCCTCCGCTGCCCTCTCCCTAATTCGGCCCCCGCCGCAGCCCCTGTACCTGCTCCTCCTCCGCCCTAGCTCCTGCTCTTCCCCCTATTCATCTCTACTCCGGCCTCCGCCCCGTCATTGCCCTCTCCCTAATACAGCCGCTGCCCCTGTTCCTGCCCCTAAACCGGCTCCTCCCGTCCCAGCTCCTGCCTTTCCCCTACTCAGTCCCTACTCCTGCCCCGCCCCTTCCCTGCCCTCGCCCTACTACAGCCCCGCTCCTGCCCCTGAACCAGCTCTGCCCCTGCCCTGTGGTGCCTGGGGGCAGTCCCAGGCGACACCGCCCGCGGTGAGCCGGCCCAGGGTGACTCTGCCCCAGGGTGCTGGCACTGCCCGGGTGCCCGGCATCGCCCCAGACCGCACCCTGCGGAGCTCCCGCAGCCGGACCCGCCTGCGTGTCAGCGAGGGACCTAGCCCTGCCGCCATCCTGGCCCGCAGGGACGGACAGACATCCCACCCGCCCGCGGGAGGGACAGGGTGGAGACGGGGAGCTGGCGGGCCACCCTCCCCAGGACCACCTCGGGGGCTCAGTAGGGTTGGAAGCGTCTGGGTTGGAATATCCACGGCTGCCTGGCCCTGCTTGGGTGGGACGGGTGTGTTTGTGTGTGTGACAGTCCCTGGACGTCTGGGATCCTGTTGCCGCACTTCCAGGCGGGAAAATATAAATATTTCAGCGGAATAGCCGAGCCCTGTCAGCTTGCATTTGCTTCTGGCAGGGTGAGCGCTGGGAAAGGGGGAGGAAAGGCGGGGAAGAGAAGATGCGCTCGAAAGATGCGTCATCTCCCCGGAGATTGGGCACCAGCTCCGAGACCCGAATCTCGGGGGGCTCCACCTCCTCTAGGAATGCTCTCCCCTCCGGGAGAAGTGCACAGCCGTGATTCAGCCCCTCCAGGTCCTGGTGGCCGGACTCATCCCATAAGAAACTCTCGGGGGTTGCTTCCAGGCTGGGCGAGGGGATGAGAAGTTTCGGGAGCTCTGCTTGAAACACAGCGGGAAACTGTTCAGGACCCTCTGGGATACGGCACAGAGCAGACTGGAACAAATCCACCCCCAGGAAAAAAACGGGGTGCAGAAATAGATCCAAGCAGAGGTATCATAAATCAGCGGAGAGAACCAAGGTCCCCCAGAGGCCACGGCAGATGGGCAAGGAGCTGACCCCGGCTGAAGGCAGTGGAAAAGGGGGTCCTTCACCCCTGCCGATGCTTTCGGAGGGGGATTTGTCCCTGTACGGGACACAGGTGCCGGCGCAGCTCCGTCCTGGCGTGGCGGCGCTTTTCCTGTTCCTCCTCCTCCTCCTCCCCTTCCTCCCTCCCGCTGCACTCTGGGGTTTGCAGTCTCCGCGCCGCCCCACACGTGGAGCGCGACTACATTTCCCGAGGTACCCCCACACCCTCCTCCTCCTCCTCCTCCTCCTCCGGCTGCTGTCGCTGTCGCGGGCTCGCCGCCGTCGGGCTCGGGTGGCAGCGGGGAGCCCCGGATCCCCGCCTTGCCCGGCCCGCGGTGCCCATGCCCGCCGCCCACCAGGTACGGGGTGCGGGGTGCGGGTGTCGCCGGGCAGTGACTGATGTCCCACTGATGTCCCACTGATGGCAGTGTTGTTCCCGCGGGTGCTGGGGATGTGTGCCGGGTGCTGTGTTGTTTCCCCCGCCTCTGTTTAAGGGTGAGCAGGCACTCCCAACACCCTCCCCTGCCAAGTGCACCCTACACGGCCCCGCAGTGCCCACCCCTTGGTGCTGGGCGGTGGGAGGCAGAGAGGTGCCCGTATGATGGGGGAGGGTGCATTTTCAGGAGCTTCCCAAACCTTGTTTTAGGGAAGGCACCCCAGGGATTCGCGCGCCCCATTCGGCGTGGCAGCTCCGCACAAAACACGTGGTGCCTTGGCACTGTCACTTGTATGTCACCAACACGCGGCTGGGGGAGGGCGTCACGCCGACCTTTAGGGCTGTCCCCTCTGGACCACGGTGGCCGTGGCTCTGCGGGTAGCTGAGCCTGAGCTCAGCCGCCCGCGTCACCTGTGACCCCGGGCTGACAGCGGTGTGTGGCGTGACAGTGATCCATGTCAAGGTCACACCCAGATAGCTCGGTGATAAACAGGTTCACACGGTGGTAACGGACCTGCTATGCTCCCTCTCCCTCCCTATCTCTTCTCCTTCTTCCTCTTGCCTCCACTCCCTGGCTTGCACCAGGGACAGGACAGAGGACGGAGCATTCCCTGGGACTCGTGCCCACTCACCTCAGCGGAGTAGCTCCATGGACGTTCTGGAGAAGGGGCATTAGGTGCAGCCAGATGGGTTCTGGTCTGGAGTTCCTTCGTGTGTGGGGACACACATGGTGGGAGTTAGGAGTCAGTGCTCCTGGGAATGGAGCAGCTTCGTGGAGCTGCATCCTGGATTTTATGTGGATGGTTTTCTGAGAGCCAGGCATGCATGTGTGTATCCCTCCTGCATGGACAGGGCAGGAAATGGGGAGCAGAGGGTAGCAAACATCCCATAGGGGTTGTGGTGCACGTGGAGGCAAGCGGCTGCTGCAGGTGACATCTGCAGCCCAGCCTGGGGACAAGAAAGCGATGGAGCAGAGTCCAGGCACTCACAGCTGGCAGTGGCCTCGGCACGGCGCTGGGATGGGTCCTTGAAGGGGGTTACCCCTTGCTCTTTGCCCCTTACCCTTCCTGCCACAGGAGGGGCCAGTGCTCCAGCCACTCCCAGACAGGCTCACTGGGCGACGAGTGAGCGAGTGCCTGCTTTGATCCTCAGGGATCTGCTTAGATCCTCTGGGGTGTTTGCCCAGGTGTGAGCTCTGGCACACAGGTGTTTTGGTGACACTCAGGTACCAGTGCTGAAATCCCATGGAAATTCTGCTGGAGTGGTGGGTCCTCACTGGGGCAAATGAACACTTGGCTTCCTGTAGGTTTAGGTTACCACCAGCTTTCCTCTGCCACCACCGGTGCTGGCTCATGTCCCCGTTTATCCTGTGTTGTCTGGCAGCAGGGAGGGGATTGTCCCCTAATTTCACCATGCAAGATCCAGTGGGACGCAGACTGGGACCATGAATTTATTTTTTAATGACTGATTAGTTGTTCTGTGGTTATCAGGGTAATCAGGTTTCTAAACCTTGCTCCCATGGCATGTATTGGCATATGAGGAATCATATGGCATGAAAAGTCACGTTGGTGACTGCTTGTGGGGGCGGGGAGTGCTGGGAAGACGCCAGTCCAGGCCTTCTCCTGTCCCTGCCCTCATCCCATGACTGCTAATTTGGTCTCCTGGCACTGCCAGCTTTCCCACAGCCAAACCTCAGGATTTGAGTTTTTAATCTCCCTCTGGACCATGAATCTTGTGGCATTTTGCATTCTCCCCAGGCTGGGCATTGTGTCCCACTGGGAAGAGCCAAGGGGCAGCTGCATGCCTGCGGCTCAGCTGAAGTCCTGCCAGCCACCCAGCTACTGAGTAACACGGGTGACCCCATGCCTGGTGTGCACATTAACTCATTTCCACAGCCAGCACATTCCTGTGCCATCCCCTCTGGAGCATCCCTGGTGCAGGGCATCTGGATCCCTCTGCCTCTGCAGCTCAGAGGGAAGTGTTGCTCCAGGAAGCAGCAAAACCCCACTGAGTCTTAAAGGGGAGGAAAAGGAGGTGATGGGAGCTGAGGATGCCCCACTGTGGATCCCAGTGCTCCATGCATCCAGGCTCCGGATGCACGTGATGTACGAATGCCGCCTGAAATGACCTAATGACCTCCACTGCTTCTGCACAGCGAGATGCATGGCTGCTTTTCTCCTTCCCAGAACATTTCCTGGGGAGAAGGTAGTGGTATTTATTTGCCTTGTGATTCTGGAGGAATTTTGAGCCTGTGCCAAATGCTGCTTTTTCCACAGAAACTGCAGCGTCCTGGTTTTCCATGCGTCCCAGAGAGCCTGTGGACAAAGAGGGGCTGCGTGGTCCAGCAGAGCCTGTGTAGCTAATGGCTCCCAGGATAATGCCACTGTCCTGCTGCAGAGCCATGCCCAAGAATGATGGTGCCAAAAAGCCGGCATCGGAGATGGTGCCGGACCAGCGCTGGAAGCTACAAGTCTTCTACCTCTGTTTCTATGGCTTCATGACACAGATCCGGCCCGGGGAGAGCTTCATCACCCCCTATCTACTGGGGGCCAACAACAGCATCACAAAGGCAGAGGTGAGCTGTGGGCATCTGGTCCCCCACCCTGGTGTTCCCCTTTATGGCCATGGTCACCATCCTGGGGCTGTCCAGAGCATCCCCAGTGCTTCTGGGGTGCACAGGGGTGTCATGTCCTGGGCATGGCAGCGTATGGTGACTCGTGGTGGTGCTTTCTAGGGAGTGGAGGTGGTGTGTTGTGGGGTCTTGTCTCACTTGGCTGTGAGGTCACCCTGTCCCCTGAGTCCCAGGTTCAACTGGCCCTGGCATAAAACCTCGTGCCCAGGCTGGCAACTGACTTTGGGGGCAGTATGTGACCCCTGCCCACCTTAGCAGCTTGTGGGAGGGTGCTGGGCTGGGAGAAGTCATGCCCCATCCCACTGGGGAGATGATGGCACAGTGCACTGCCAGGCCACTGGCAACGATGGGGTTAGACAAGGAGGGACCATAATGTCATCATCTCCCAACCAAGAGATGCTGGCCTCGATCCCAGCCAGCTGCTGCGGCTGTGGGAATGCTGCATTCCAGGCATAGGAAGGGGCCGAGGCTCAGCCAGACCCCCAGCCGAGCATGCTGCTGGTCACATTGCTCCCCGAGGAGGTACTGCCATGGGGGTCAGCAGCCAGTGCCCACACCATCTGCAGTTTGGGGGGCGGCCCCAAGGATGTGCCCAGCACTCAACCCCTCCTTGCCCTCACGGCAGGTGACCAATGTGATCATGCCAGTGCTGTCCTACTCCTACATGGCTGTGCTGGTGCCCATCTTCCTGCTGACAGACTACCTGTGCTACAAGCCCGTGCTGGTGCTGCAGAGCCTGAGCCACATCTCCATCTGGCTCCTACTGGTGCTGGGGACTTCTATCTTGGCCATGCAGCTGATGGAGTTCTTCTACGGCATCACCATGGCTGCCCGCATCGCCTACTCCTCCTACATCTTCTCCCTGGTCACACCGTCCCGCTACCAGCGGATGGCCAGTTATTCCCGCTCTGCTGTGCTCCTGGGGGTTTTCACCAGCTCCGTGTTGGGCCAGCTCTGCGTCACCTTGGGTGGTGTCTCCTTCCTCACCCTCAACTACATCTCCTTGGGCTTTGTCAGCTTCGGCCTCATCCTCACCCTCTTCCTCGAGCGGCCCCGGCGCAGCCTCTTCTTCAACCGGCCCGGGAGGGCCAGTGACGCTGCTGTGCCCACTGAGCTGGACAGGATGGCCGGGGGGCACAGCGGCGGGGGGACAGGGGGCTGGCGGGACATGGTGCTGTGCCGTATGCTGCAGGAGCTGGGGGCGCTGGCCAGGCAGCCCCAGCTCCGCCTCTGGTCCCTGTGGTGGATCTTTAACTCAGCTGGGTACTACTTGATGCTGTACTATGCTCATATCCTCTGGAACGAGATCTCTCCCACCATGGACAACCGCCATGTGTACAATGGAGGTGTGGATGCTGCCTCCACTCTGCTGGGTAACTCGCCTGCGATGGGGACACGGCGGGTGTGCGGGGACACTCGCGTCCTCCTGCCTCCTGTGGGAATGGCTGGGGACACCAGAGAGGCAGGGGGTCACTGCTGTCCAGCTACACCCCTTGGGAATGGTGGTCCTTACAGTATTTTTGGTGGTTTGGCATTGGGGATGACGTGATGGTCACTGGGCTGGATCCCAGCCTAGTTAGGGCAGGGGATCCTTGAGGTACTCACAGCATCCTTCATCCCTCCCCAGGAGCTGTCTCCTCCATCGCTGCTGGCTACGTGAAGATCCGCTGGACGCTGTGGTCAGAGCTCGTGATTGGAGTGGTTACGGCATTCCAGGCGGGATTGCTTCTGCTCATGAACTCCACCACCAACATCTGGCTGTGCTATGCTGCCTATATCCTCTTCCGTGGCTCCCACCAGTTCCTGGTGCCCATTGCCATGTGCGTGGTGCTCCTGGGGACCCACTCCCACCCTGGTGGCTGGGTTGATGCCAGGGGTTCACCAGTGCTCCCATTTTTCCCAGTTTCCAGATTGCTGCCTCCCTCTCCAAAGAGCTCTGTGCTCTCGTCTTCGGGGTCAACACCTTCTTTGCTACTGTGCTGAAGACCATCATCACCATCATCGTGGCTGACAAGAGGGGCTTGGGCTTATCTGTGCATCCCCAGGTAGGGATGGGGTCGCACCTAGGGTGGAGGTCGTTCCTGAATGGTGTGGGATGAAGGAAAGGCTCCAAGTGCTGTTTTCCCCTCTCTCCTCTTTTGCAGTTTTATGTATATTTTGGCTACTTCACCCTGCTGGCTGTGGTCTACCTGCTGGCGGCCATCGGAGTGGGTGTCCAGCACAGCCACCGCAGGCAGCCAGTGGAGCTGGCCTTGGCCAAAGAGCCGTGCCAGCTCCCAGTGGAAATTCCAGCACAGGAGAAAAGCCCAGAGGCAGGCACCATGTAAGCCTGAGTGCTGGCACTGCGACACTGTGGCCAGCTCTTGGCTCCTGAAGTGAGCATTGTCATCGCCACCGTGTGCTTGGTGTCCCGTCCCACTGCTGGTCCTGGGTGCTGTTTTGTCGAGGATGTAACCGCTGGGACATGTTTTCTTCTCTGTGAAGACAGGGCTGCGCCCCTTCCCTGCCCCCACACACAGAGTGTGAGCAGGATTCCCATGGTGCCACCACCACGTGTCACAGAGGGGTATGGATGAGGACCCCATCCCGCTGCATCCCCATCATGGCACAGAGCCGGGCTACAAGAGAATGTTTCTTTATTCAGTGCCTTTAGAAAATGGTTTATAGGACACAACTGATGACCAAAAAATAATGTAAAGATCCACACGCTTTAAATTCCATTAATTACACAAAATACAGTAGACTGTAAGAAATAG